CAGCGCAGCATAGCGCAGCGCAGCATTAGCACAGCATAGCATTGCATAGCCAAGCATAGCATAGCATATAATAGCATAGCATAGCATTGCATAGCTCAGCAACGCATAGCATAGCATAGCATTGCATAGCATGGCATAGCATGTCATAGCATAGCATATCATGTCATGTCATATCATATCATAGCTTAGCATGGCTCAGCGCAGCATAGCATAGCATAGCATATCATAGCATATCATATCATAACATACCCTAGCCTAGCCTAGCCTAGCCCAGCATAGCATTGCGCAGCATAGCATAGCATAGCATAGCATAGCATAGCATAGCATAGCATAGCGCAGCACAGCATCCACTACTGCTGCTGCTAATGTTGCTTTCCTAGAGGCTCCAACTCCTAGGTAGGGTCGCACTGGGATACTTTTTAATTTTTCATTCAAAATCCCCCTGTCGGAGGGCATGCCCGACCTAAGAGGAGCGGTACATATGTCGGCATGTTTTGCCCCCCGTGCACGGGCGTTCCCGATGGAATGCAGCCCGTGGTCGAGAATCTGCCAGAATCGACCAACGTGCGCTACCGGAAAGCCGCGATCGTGCAACAGGGTCGAGCGATGCACGCGGTGTCAGACACCGGCGCAGAGGCCCTCACGACCCGGGCCTGCCGCACAATTTAAGCGTGCGCTCGCAGGCTGCGATCGCAGTGGCCGTTGATCATGTGATCGAGTCTCGTTCGTCGGTAGCAGATCATGGGAGCCTCGTGAACCCTCTCCATTCTGTCTCTAGCGCCGAGTAGCGTCCATTCACGTGTGGGAGTCGATGTGAGGTAGCGCCGCTTTAGCGTCGATGTAGCGTCGATGCAGCGTCGATGCAGCGTCGATCAGCGTCGATTTAGCGTCCGCCGGCGTCGATTCGCAAGAGCCGACAATATGGTATGTCGGGCCGGGCGAAAGGGGGGTCACGAGATTTGCTGCATGCAGCTGGTTTCGGCCTCACCGAGGGGCCCATTCCTCGATACATGGCCGCCTCCGGCGCCGGGAGGCGCTGGGAAAATCAGCTACGTGAGCTGATTCTGAACCCCCCCCTTTGCTATCCCCCCCTTTCGCCCGACCCGAATCATGTGATCGAATCTCGTTCGTCGGTAGCAGATCATGCGAGCCTTGTGTACCCTCTCCATTCTGTCTTTAGCGCCGAGTAGCGTCCATTCACGTCTGGGAGTCGATGTGAGGTAGCGCCGCTTTAGCGTCGATGTAGCGTCGACGCAGCGTCGATGCAGCATCGATCAGCGTCGATTTAGCGTCCGCCGGCGTCGACCCGTAAGAGCCGACAATATGGTACGGGAGGCCCCCATGAGTCAGGAGGGAAAACAATTATCCGGGCGAAGGACCCAACCATATGCAGTTGTGAGTATCGCAATTGTGAGTATATTCTTCGGTGGCGCTCCCTATGGGGCCACGAACCGCATGAGGGGTGTGCCGAAATGTGGCGGGGTACACAACGCAATGGAATACGATAGATCTGATTACGAGAGAAAGAACGCGGGTGAGTCAGAGCGCGAGGGGATCTGAGTATGAATGGGTCTGCGCGCGAGTGAATATATTTGCATGAATGCGATCATGGAAACGCCTAGTGTAAGTGTATATGAATGTGAATGGTTCGAGCATGCCTGTCCGAACACACGTGACACTGGGCGTGGCCGCCGCAGGCAGCTTCCGCGGGAACCCCGACGGCAGCGTCCGCACGTCGCGACGCCCATGTCGGCACGCCTCTTGCGAGGATCGCGCCCGCTTTCGGCTCTTCTTTTCCTTCCTCTTTGCCCGCGCACTCCAAAATCCAAGGCTGCGGGCGCAGCGCAGCGCGGAGTCCCCGCGACGCGCGCTGGTCGCCCCGGGCGGGGTCCCAGCGACGCGCGCGGGTCGTCCGCTGCGCGAAGCAGAGAGAGCTGACTAGCTAACTGGCTGGCTGATAGCGGGCAAGTCTCTGACCGCTGGGCAGAGCGACGACGGGCGAACGAGGCGCCGGGCTCCCCGCAGCACGGAGTTCCCGCGACGCGCGCTGGTCGCCCCGAGAGGGTCCCAGCGACGCGCGCGGGTCGTCCGCGGCGCGAGGCCAAACAATTAATCGGGCAGTCGAGAGAAGGCGCGGCTCGGGGGAGACGCTCCTCAGGTCAGGCCTCGCGGATGAACTCGGTGAAGCCGAGCTCCCTGGCGAGGCTCGGTGAAGCCGAGCTCCCTGGCGAGGGCCGTCGCTTCCCTCCTGCACCGCTTCGTGCGCGCCGCAAACTGCTCCAGCTGCTTCCGCAAGCCCTGCGGCGGCCCTGCCAGGAAGAACTCGATGCGCGGCGCCCGCATGAGCAGGAGGTCCTCGTGGCGCGTGGCGCGCGAGAGCAGCACGTAGAGCTCCAGCCACCAGTCGTCGCCCTCCTTCTTGCCGTCCCCTACCTCGTGGCGGCCGCAATCCAGGATCACGCCTGGGCGACGTCGACCGAGGGGGCAGCGCGCCGGGCAGCCGACGGCCCAGGGCGAGAGTCCACAGGACCGAGAGATGGTCTGGCCGCGGACTGCTCGCGCCCCGGAGGTCTGGCCGCCCCCGGAGCGCCGTTCCCCCGCCCCGTCGCCTTCGCGCATGGTGCGCCCCTTCGGTGGAGCTCCCTATGAAGCCACGAAGCCTGTGAGGGGTGTGCCGAAGTGGGTGGGGGCCTTCGGTGGAGCTCCCTATGGGGCCACGAAACGTGTGAGGGGTGTGCCGAAATGTGTGTGGGTGACGCATGCGGCCGCGGCCACTGGGGCCTTCGGTGGAGCTCCCTATGGGGCCACGAAACGTGTGAGGGGTGTGCCGAAATGTGTGTGGGTGACGCATGCGGCCGCGGGCCACTGGGGCCTTCGGTGGAGCTCCCTATGGGGCCACGAAACGTGTGAGGGGTGTGCCGAAATGTGTGTGGGTGACGCATGCGGCCGCGGCCACTGGGGCCTTCGGTGGAGCTCCCTATGGAGCCACGAAACGTGTGAGGGGTGTGCCGAATTGAGTGTGCGTGACGCATGATGATGATGATGGTGGGAGGGGGGAGGAGGCAGCGGGAGGAAGGAAGGAAGGAGAACGCGGGGCACCGTTTCTTCAAAACGAGGACCCAACACCACAGGATGGTTGGGAAAACACAGACACAATGAATCGTCGGCCCCCAAGAAAACATGGGAAACTATGGGATTTGGGCGGGAAGCCAATTACCCTGCGACGTACCCAACCCATGTGCATCAAATGGCAAGAGGAGTAGGCCAACATTGGCAGGAACAACGACAATGTAGACACGGTGATTTGTTGCGCAATCTACATGGGACGCGCATGCGTTGCACGACTCACAGGACGACGATCGAAAAAACGAGGATCCAGGCCCCAGGCTCGAAGAAGAACGGGGACGGGAACGAGGGGCAGGAGGAGGATGGAATGGGGGGGCGAAAGGCCATCGCGGCAGCAGCAGCATGCATGGAGCAGGTGAAACGGGGAATAGGACGACAATGAAGGTGGCGGGAGGAGACAGAAAAGCGCCGCGTTTTCAGGTACACGCTAAACACTGAGCGCTGCCTGCGCCATGTCGTCGCAGCGTTCCACAGGCTCAAACATGCTTATAGTAAGTGCAAGAAGCGAGCGAGACTTAGCTCGCCCGCTAGCTTCTCCGCCTCATCCCTGCACATTTAGCGCGGGAGCTGAACGTTCGCAGGCGCGCCGCCAGGTCTGCGGGCGGCCCGCGGGAAATGACACATTTTCACAGATCGCAGCCCTCCAGGGATGGCGAAGTCTAATCTGAATCCCCGTATGACGTCACTCCGCTGGCCACCCCAGCACCCCTCGAAAGTGGCGACAGGTTCGCAGATCGCAGCCCCCCAGGGATGGCGAGGTCTAATCTGGGTCCCCGTGGGGCGTCACTCCGCTGGCCACCCCAGCAGCCCTCGAAAGTGGCGACAGCTTCGCAGATCGCAGCCCCCCAGGGATGGCGAGGTCTAATCTGAGTCCCCAGGGCGTCACTCCGCTGGCCACCCCAGCAGCCATCGAAAGTGGCGACAGTTTCACAGATCGCAGCCCCCCAGAGATGGCGAGGTCTAATCTGAGTCCCCGTGGTGCCTCACTCCGCTGGACCCACCAGCAGCCCTCGAAAGTGGCGACAGTTTCACAGATCGCAGCCCCCCCCAGGGATGGCGAGGTCTAATCTGAGTCCCCGTGGTGCCTCACTCCGCTGGACCCACCAGCAACCCTCGAAAGTGACGACAGTTTCACAGATCGCAGCCCCCCAGAGATGGCGAGGTCTAGTCTGAGTCCCCGAGGTGCCTCACTCCGCTGGACCCACCAGCAGCCCTCGAAAGTGGCGACAGCTTCACAGATCGCAGCCCCCCCCAGAGATGGCGAGGTCTAATCTGAGTTCCCGTGGTGCCTCACTCCGCTGGACCCACCAGCAGCCCTCGAAAATGGGGACAGTTCCGCAGATCGCAGCCCCCCAGAGATGACGTAAAAGGCAAGAGAAGAGAAGAGAGGAGGAGAAGGCAAGCAAGAGAGGAGAGGAGGAGGGAAGAGAGGGGGGGGCGGGAAGGAAGGAGGGTGGAGACCGCAGAGCTCTATTCAAAACGAGTACCCAACGCAGGAGGGTTGGGAAAAAAACCCAGCAAATATTTGAAAATATGGGGAATCTTTTTGTTTGTGTGTATTTATTTGTGTGTCCCAGGGCCCCTTCAATGAGTTGCCCCCAGGCGTTCGCAAGGCGATCCGTCGAGGAGCGGGCGCGCGCGGCTCCGGGGGGCAGCCCGTCGCTGGCGCGATCGATCGAGCGGCCAGGCTGCCGAGCTGCCACCGCGCGGTCGGAGCTGGCGCGCGCGCGCGCTGGCGATCTGGCGATCTGTCGACCTCTGACGAACGAACAACACACACCCATACCCACAGGGAGTTCGTTGGGAGGAGGACTGGCTATGCGTATGGGTGCGGGTTGTCGGACCCTGGGGAACGCTCCCGTTCGAGCGGGGACCCCCATCCGACAACACGCACCCATAGCCCTCTCCGATCCCCCTATGGGTATGGGTGTGTGTTGTTGGTTCGTCAGCCTCTCCACTGGCGCTGCGGCTCGCTGGTGGCGAGGCGGCGCGGTCGGATCGCGCGCACAGCCCTCCGCGGCAGAGGAGGGGCGAACGACCAAAGCGCGCAGCAGACGCCATCCGTAGCCATTTTGGCTCAAGTCACGATGCGAGCTAGCATCCATATCCAGCACGGCTTAAGCCAAGCTGTCTCCAAACCACTCACCTTACGTAAATCATAGCCATGCCTGTCCAGTCTGGCAAAGTTGCGCGGTTTGCATCAATTCTCTCCGTGGTGTTCTTGGGCCTCTTCACATGCGGTGAGGCCGTGGGCGCGGCGGCGTCGGTGCAACTGCGCAAGAGGACCGTCAAGGATACCATCCAGAAGGCGGGAGACGTCCACAGGGACAGCGACCACGACCACGACCACGACCACGACCACGATCGGTTTAACACCGCGAGCCAATTCGATCTGCGAGGGCACCGCCGCCACGTGAGGAGGGGCGGCGTCCGGATGACACACAAGATGGCTTACTTTGGCACCGTTGAGATTGGCGACCCGCCGCGGCCATTCCAGGTCGTTTTCGACTCTGGCAGTGGGAACCTGTTGGTGCCCGGGATTAACTGCGACTCCGAGGCGTGCAACGGACGTGCCATGTACAACCATGACCTATCCACCAGCGGGAACCGGATACCCTGCCCTGCCTCTAGTCAGTCGCAGGCCCCCTTGGAAGACCACACAACAGTAAATTTCGGCGTTGGTCAGATTGTGGGCGAATGCTTTGAGGATCAGATTTGTCTTGGCAATGTCTGCTACCCTGCTGCCTTCATTGCGAGCACCTGCGAGAGCAACACCCCGTTCGCATCATTCAATTTTGACGGGGTTATGGGGTTGTCCTTGCCCTACATGTCGCGAGGCCACAAGTTCAACATGCTGGAGAAGATCAAGGCGACCGAGAAGCTCCATCAGACGGTATTCGCAGTTTTCCTGTCCATTCGCGACACTGAAGTCTCCGAAATCACCTTTGGCAGCATGAAGATAAGCCACATGGCGTCGGACCTACACTGGGTTCCCGTCACTTCCCGCCACACGGGCTTTTGGGAGGTTCAGATATCGGACATCACCATCGACGACCGTCCGCAGAATCTGTGTGTTGACTGCTACGTCGCCGTGGACACGGGGACGTCAGACTTGGCCGGGCCGACAGCGATCATACAACAGCTCGCCTGGAGGTTGAACGTAGAACCTGACTGCGGGAACTTCCACAATTTGCCGAGGCTCGGATTCCTCATCAACGGGGTGATCATGAACCTCGAGCCGAAGGATTACGTCGACGAAGGTGATGGCAGTTGCGAGGTCTCCGTGATGAGTCTCGACATCCCCCCGCCCACAGGTCCGCTCTTCATCTTCGGGATCCCGTTCCTGGAGAAGTTCTACACCGTCTACGACAACGTGAACGAGCAGATCGGCTTCGCGGTGGCCAACCAGGCCGGCGGGCCCTCCAAGATCGACGCGGCTCTGATCATGTCGCAGTTGGGCGCCTCGGTGAGCAACTCGAGCTCGAGCAGGGACAGTGCCCTGCGCCAGGCGGACCACCAGCCCAGGAGCTACCTGCGCAAGTGATGGCCTCCGGGTGTCGGAGGAGAGGAAGCAACAGCGCAGACCTATCTGCGAAAGGGGGGGGTGACCCCGTCGCTTCCAGGGCCCGCGCCCGGCAACTGGCCGCGGCACGTCCTCTTGCCCCTACGCCGCGCCGGAGGGAGCGGCGGCCGGCGGGTCCTTTTCTCCCCGACAGTATCCAGCGAGCTGCAGCCCAAGGTAGCAGCTCGTGTACAGCGCTGGCCGCTGCATCCCAGGCACTCTCTATTCAGAGCAAGCGAGTGGAGATGCCCGCGGCAGACCTATCATAGAAAAAAAACACGCGCAGCAGACGCCACGAGCGCGCAGGCAGTGGGAGACCGCCCCTCCAGTGAACAGGCTAGAGTCGGGCGTGTCCCTCTACGGGAGGAAAATTCAAAAATGGTTACTAATAGTCTAGGGACATGTTTTTGAATATGTTTGGTCATGTGTTGATTGATAATTTTGTGGCATCCATCGAAAATCCGCCTATAGGGGGGCATGCCCGACCTCAGAGTAGCCCGTGTGTTGGGTGTTGGATCACGGCCCCCTTGGGAACCGCAGCCGTCCAGCTCTCGCGCCAGAAGCCGCGGGAGACCGCCGAGGACCGCCGGAAAGCCACGAGGACCGCCGAAGACACTCAGAGTACCGCCGAAGACTGAAACAGACCGCCGAAGACCGCCGAAAACCGTCCGAAGACCGCCGAAGACCGCCCAGGAGCGATAGGTAGCGACTTGGTGAGCCCTAGAAACGACAGGGCCGTTTCTGTTACCGGTTCACTTTTTCCGTTTTTCTGCCAGGTCTGACGTTTTTTTTAACGGTTCTGTCGCTGTCGTTTTACCGGTTCCGGCTCCGGTTCCAATTCTGGAGCCGTTTTTGTTGCCGTTGTTGGTCGCCGTTTTTTTGCAGTTTCCAGTTTCAAGGGACACTTTGCCGGAAACGGTGAAAAAACACAGCCCTGCCGTTTCTGGGGCCCACCAAGGGTAGTGAGGGGTCCAGGGTCGAACATGTGACGTGTGCGTGTCTCCTTTCTCGTCGGCAGAGCTGGGCAGCAGCTCGAGGCGCGCGCGCAGTGGCCCGGAGGGAACACCCCCCTTGGACTCGCGCCGCTCCCGTCACCTGCTCTCGGCATGCATTATAAGTATGATAGGTTGTACTGTGCGTGACGGCCGACACCTCGAGGCTCGAAGATGGTTTCGATCGTTGGAGGTTGCGTTTGAGCTGAGCTGGCCAGCTTTGCATCCGAGGTCCGAACCAGACCACACGCCAGGCCGAGTCTTTTTCTTCTTCTTCTTCTTCTTCCTCCTGCTCCTCCTCCTCCCCCTCCCCGTCCATCGCGGGCCCCTCGCCTCCGACCACGAGGACGCGGAGCTTCGACGACGAAGTCTCACAACGTTCGGAAGTTCGGGGGCCCGTTTCGCACCCCCTCGTGGCCGCCAGGCAGCGATCCAACATGAAAGCCTGGCCACGGTGGACCGCAGGTGGGATCGGGAGGGGGCCGCGGACCGATGCTGAACCCACGTTGGCCCGCGCTTTGAATCCCGAGAGGGCTGAGGGTTCTTAAAAGCCTTCCTGCTGTTTGCAAGCCCGAGAAGTCAGACCCTGTTGAGAAGGCCTCTGTCTTTTTTTCGAAGGCCGCCATGCTCCTTGACGGCCCCCAGACATGCAATGGCTGCTGGATCGCTGAGATGATGGGGCTCTGAACGCATACGCTCTGATAGCATCGGCAATTCTATGTGAGAAACCTTGCCGATCTGCAGATGCAGGGCCACGTGGTTACGCTCTGGGCGGGACCCCCTTGAGGGGCCCAAGTGCCACGGATCATAAAAAGTGGTGAGCATGAGGCTCTGACGAAAGACACGTGCTCATTGGGCAAGATCTGGCGTTTCGCCAAAGAGATCCCGACAACGGGGCCGTGGAACACCCCTGGTCGACACCCCCCCTGGAGGGTTCAGCTGCCACGCCCGCTACATCGCAGTGATCCTGGGGATCTGACGCGAGATTCGCCCACTCCGCCACAATGGGTGTTTCGATGGAGAGGTCCCGACAATTTGGTCGCGAACGGATCCTTGTAACACCCATCGATACCCCATTTGGGAGGCCCAAGGGAGATGCTTGCCACATCGCGTACGGAGTGGTTTGAGAAGCAGGAGTCAGACTTCGAGGGATGCGCGTGAGTGTGAGTGTGTCTGAGTGTGAGCCCTCTCGGATATGCGCGGTCAGAGCATGGCAGTGTATGAGCACGCGTGAGTCTGAACATGAGCGTGTCTGTGCATCAGTGGTGGTCGCAGTATGAGTGCTCTGAGTATGAGTGGGTCTGCTTAGGTGTAGATATGCGTATGAGTTGGTCTGATTGTCTGAGCGCGAGGGAGTCTGAACATGAGCGGTTTTCGTCATGAGTAGTTAAAATGTCAGTGTTCTGTCTATGAGTGGGTCTGGGTAGGTATGGATCGGAGTATGAGTGGGTCCGAGTGTGAGTGGGTCTGAGTACGAGTGCATCTGGCTATGACCGGGACTGAGTGGAAGTGCCTTCCAGGGTGAGTGGGTCTGTGTGCGAATGGGCCTGCGTGCGAGCCGGGCGGAGCTTGAGTGGGTCTGGGTACACTTGGACGTAAACCGCCGTGGGCCCGAGTGTGGGTGGGCAGGGGGGCGGGGCGGGTGAGCGAGTGATGGGGGCGGAGCCGCGTCAGTGGTAACAGGAGACCCGCGCGCAGGATGTGTTGGCCGAGGAGGGGGCATTGGGGTTTTGGCACGTGCGGCTGGAACAGCAGCAGCAGCAAGCGCGGCTGCACACGCCTCGGCCGAGTCCCCCCATCTCTCCTCCTCTCATGCTCCTTCCTCCTGCTCCTTCTCCTCCTCCTCCTCCTCCTCCTCCTCCTCCTCCTCCTCCTCCCCCTCCTCCTGCGTTCGGCTACCACGTGGCGTACCGCCTCTTCCACTCTGACCTCCTGGACGCGCCTACTTCGCGAACGCCGGGCAGTTGCTGAAGATCGTCTTCTTGTCTGCCAAGTCGTTCAAGGACATTGGTGTGCTGACTCCTGAAAAGACAAGCTTTCCATCGCGCAACGCATCGAGCAGATCGTCACGGGCCAGCTCTTCCCGACCTGCAAGGGCTCCGTCCACAAGTCCATGAAGTGCGTGTTTGGTATTCCTCAGCGTGTTATTCATTCCCTGGCAGCCGCCCGTCGACGTGCGGCAGCCGCTGGTCGCCAAGCTCTCATTGACAAAGACCGTCGGCCCGATCGTGACGCGCCCTCCCCCCCATGACGTGCTGCGAAGAGAGGGTCGATGCAATGCCCAAGGAAAAGGGAAACAGACCGCACGCAAGCCGCCACAGCCCACCGACCTGCACGAGCTCCAGGCCGCCTTCTACATCGTCAACTTCGACAAAACCATCCTCAAGCGCTCAAAGACCTGGTTCCCGCTCATCGGTGCGCTCCCGTCTACTCGCTCTTTCGACGACGCCGTCCACGCCGTGCGGCCGATGCCGACGACTACCGTGCCCTCGCAGACGCCCACCGCCGAGCAGTCCCTCGCCTACATGAACGAGCGTGCTGAAGCTTGGACCGCCCGATGGTTCCCGAGCGTCGACTTGGACCCCATCTACAACGACTACCGCGACTGGATGGGTGGATGGGGTGGTGCGTCCCCTACCTCATCATCTGCTTCGTCCGCCCGCAATCCGACGACATGTTCGACATCGCCGTCAGCCCTTGGCAAGATGGTGGCCGCCGTCACGCAGTCGCTCTCGAGACCTGCGAGCGCCGATGGCACAGCGCATCCTGCGCCCGCAGCCGTCGCTGCACACTCTACCCGCCCAGCCACCCGACAGCGAAAGCACAACGCGAACGAGACGAATAAGTTGCTGAGCATCGTGCCCGCCGCCCCTTGCCCACCAACCAAGAACTACGTGATGAAGACCGCTGGCCTCCTGAAGACACCGCCCAGGGCGGCAACAGCAACCAGAACACCGACATGCTTGACATCGACGACTGGCCTCCTTCGCTCGCTGGTGGCTGGTCCGTGCTTCGACGTCATCTCGCACGAGCCCCTCCGTCACAGCTCCGGCCCGTCCTCAAGACGTTGGCGGGCGCATGGACTACGAGCTACCGCGTGCATGTCAACCCCTTCAAGCACTCGTGTCCCTTCGGATGTCCGGCCATCGAGAGCAATAATACGATTATGGCTTAGCACACTACATCACGTGCCCGAAGGATGAGGAGCCATCTTTGCCTTCCGCGCGGGCAAATCACGCCGAACGTCATCACGCGCCTGGGCCTTAATGGAGAGCAGACCGATGACAACGCCATCCCGCACGCCATCGCCCGTCTGGCTGTGGAAGTCAAGTCCTGCAACTTCCTCCGCGTCCAGAGCGCCGTGCACATTGGCTCGGCCTCCATCAATGAGGCTAGGGCCCCCGCCTTCCCGTCCAACGACATCTACGACAAGAACAAGTCGGCCATCGCCGCCTCGCGACGCGCCCTGAGGCTTCCTCCCTGCCACGCGGGCGGCGCGGGGCAGCGCAGGCCGTGAAGAGATAGACGTCCGCAAGTGGACGTTCGCTCCTCCTCCTTCTCCTCCTCCTCCTCCTCCTGTTCCTCCTCTTCGTCGTCCCTCCTCCTCCTCCTCCTCCTCCTCCTCCTCCTCCTCCTCCTCCTCCTCCTCCCTCCTCCCCCTCCTCCTGTTCCTCCTTGTCTTCGTCCCTCCTCGTCCCCTCCTCCCTTCGTCGTCGTCGTAGCTTGCCTCCTCCTCCTCCTCCTCCTCCTCCTCCCTCCGCCTCCTCCTCCTCCCTCCTCCTCTCTTCCGGTCTCTCTCCCGGTCTCGCTCCGCCCGTTCTTTCTCCTCCTCCCCTCTGCTCCTGCTCCGCTACCGCTGCCGCTCGTCCCGCCCCCCTTGCCCGGAGGCACGAGGCCAGCCGCAGGGCGGCCGAGCGGACGGCCAGGCGGCGCGCCGCCCGGGGGGCAGGCCGAGATGGGCGGAGAGGGGCCAGGGAGAGGCGAGGCCGCTCGCGGCCGTCCTCCTCCGCCTCCTCCTCCTCCTCCTCCTCCTGCTCCTGCTCCTGCTCCTCCTCCTCCTCCTCCTCCTCCTCCTCCTCCTCCTCCTCCTCCTCCTCCTCGTCCTCCTCCTCATCCTGCTCCTGCCCCTTCTTCTCCTCCTCCTCCTCCTCCTCCTCCTCCTCTCCTCCTCCTCCTCCTCCTCCTCCTCCCGCCTCGTCCTCCTCCGCCTCGTCCCCCCTCTCTCTCTCTCTCCTCCCCTTTTCTCCCCGTCCTCCTTCCCTCCTCCTCTTCCGCCTCCT